TTTTTCGGGGGCGAGAGGGGGGGGGGGTAATTTCGTATATTTGTTAAGAAAAGCAGAGAGGTTTATGATCATTATAATGAACATCTAAGCCCACTGCAATCGTCCTGTAAAATGGCCTATCAAAAACCACGCACTTTTGGGATTCTTATTTCAACTCTTTCACTCTCAAGAGTCTGAACTTGACTGCCAAAAAAAAATGAATATTGATGGGGTTTTTTGGTATGTATTGTTTTACAGGGAAAGTTAGTGTGCGGTTTCATCCACCCCTATATGTGGCCCATATTTCGTTCCAGATAATTTCCAGCTTCGGTCCATATATGGCTCATTTTATTTCTTTAGTAAGAGCCTTCATAGAAGAATTGCGACAAATGTATTTTTACTCTTGGATAGGTTGTAAATCTTTAGCTACAAATACAAGATCTCAAAACCATCTATTGTGCAACATTTATTAAGTTAAAGACAACATAATTAAAAAACAAAGTGGAAGAAAATATTTAGAAAAGGTATTTATTTGAGTGAGCTCTCCTTTTTTCCCCATACCTTTGTAAAAAAATCCAATATGAACAGATTCCAAAAGACAATAGAAAAAAATTTATTCTACGCGATATCCTGTCTAGCAAACTTACTATCTTTTTGTTAATTACTTGTAACCAAAGGATCAAATTAATTCCGCTTGTAGTTGATGGCAATTTTAAATGCCCTGTGTCTTCTTTTTTCTCTCTCTTCTTTAGATCTCTTCTAGTAAACCCACCTTACGAAACTTTAAAAAGGAGGCTAAACAGATGAAGACCATTGGACTTGTGTCATCACACTGGGAAGAGGCGGTTATTGCAGCTGTGGATTTAGCTGTCAGGAACATCGATCAGTTTTCTGCCCTAGTTCAAATTGTTTGGTGGAAGATTTTTATTTTACTGTAAAAACACCTTACAAAGACATTCAAGATGTTTCATTGACTCCAAAGGATTTAAAGGACTTTTACCAACAATCTCTTGACATTTCAAGAACAGTAGAGTAGGGAGGGTGACTTAAGGAACGTTATCACCTGCAAAACACTCCACTAAAACCTGCTGAGAAAAGCATTTGCTCATTTTTTTGGGTGTATTACACAATATAGTACATATTGTTAGACAGTCAATAAGAGCAAACATACACGATGACATGGTGTCAACGTTTTCTGTTTAACACATGGATGATGTCGGAAAAAGTAAAGTTTGTTTTATTCCTGCGTCCGGTACCTTGATACCAATATTTCACCTATTTCAAGAAATTATTGCAATGACGAAAATCGCGAAAATCGCCGGAGGGCCGGCGATTCAAATTGTATGCCCAAAGTGGCCCCTTTGAAAGTGGTGATTTTGCCAATTTTGGTGAAAATCGCTAAAAAGCGCCAGAGAGCTGGCAATTCAAATTGGATGCAAAAAGTGGCCCCTTGGAGAGTGGCAAAAAAGGAGAAAATGGCGATTTAGGCGAAAATGAAGAATTTGGCACAAGGGCTGGTGATATCCGGAATGTGGCAAATATCCTAATTGGATGCCACGTGGCCCCTTGACATTAGATAACTAAAGAGGTCCCTATAACTGTGAGGCAGCATTTCCCAAAAATGTTTTCAAATTTGATAACTAATCTTAAATGACCGCTATAACAGTGAGGCAACATTTATCAAATACAGCTGAATCAAATATATCAGAAAACAATGGTAGTCTTTACACTAGAGCCTAAATAAGCTAAGACAAGTAAATTTTAATTCCTTCAAGTAAAATAAAGCTTTACACACAACCGATTCTTTTCTACTTCAGGTTGACTTACGGCCATTTTCCCATGCAACATAATTAAGATTGACATGTTTCACCTTTCTCAAAGCTCACGAAACTGCAAGTCAGCTAAGTCGGTCATAAGGATGGTTTTCAAGTCGCTTGAAACTTTCTTGAATCATTTCAACGTTCCGACTTGTTGAAATTAATTGAAATTAATCTCGTCTGTACATCTTGTATATTTATGTCATTAGAATAATATAGTTTCAATTCGTTAATGTAATTAATCTCTATAATTTCGTAATTATTGTACATCTTTATGTCATAACAATAAGATTGTATAATGTAATAGACACGTCTCCACACTACCTGCCACGAATAGCTCTGCTATTTTGCAGGTAGTCTGTATTTGTAATTGTTTCCCTTTGGATGCTTCCGCTCAAAGGGATTAATTGGCAACCGCACGCGACACACTCACTATTCATAGGCATTATTTTACATTGCATGCTATATTGTATTTCAGTTTCTATCACTCTCGAAGCGGTCACATTGTTTTTCTACCTCGTGTAGTTTTTGTCTCTGTTAATCATGGGTAAAACTCGTTGTTGTACTGGGTGTAAGATGCCACTCTCAGAGCATACATTTGGAAAGCTGGGAAAGAGGTCCTCTTGGGCAGAACAATTTCCTGATTTCTCTGTTGTTGCAGAAGATACCGCCTTTCCTTTGCAGCCAATTGGAGATGAACTGCACAAAACTATAGAAGCCACTCTCGCTTCTCTGCTAGGGGCGGTAAAAATCGCTTATCACTGGCATAAAGGAAGTCCAGGCTGATAATCAGCAACTGTGTGCCCTCCTTACTAACCAGTCGCCAATTGAGGAAGTTCCCGTTCCATCCACAAGCACTGGCGGGGCGACGGCTTCTGGAGTTACTTTGCCAGAGTTGCGCGCAATGCAAGACTTGTCACAACAAACCAATCGACACATCACTCAGCTTGGGTTGGCGGATTTCAGCGATAGTGACTCGGACAACGACGAGGTTGAGCTGTCCGCACCAAAGACACACGTGCGTCAAATGGTGGTGGTAAGTCTTTAAAATCCGGGAAGGAGTAAAAAATTATGACTACCGTCCTTTATCCTCAGCTATGGCTGCATAGCTTCCTCAGTCTCACGAATGCTCATTGCGATATTACATATGATGACCTGGCGTTAGCGGAGTTCGTTGATGGTTACGGACAAATCCTCCAATCCCCTGACATAACGTAGATGGAGCGTTTTGCTGGGCTTAAGCACTTGGTGTCCCTAATGTATTTTGCCCAGCAGTACGAGTGGCAAGCCGCACTCAGTTTTCACACGCCTGTTATTCTGGAGATCAAGCAAGACCTTCTCAAGTGGGGTGATTCCTTGTTTCATTTCGAGAGCAGTACTCTCTACGGGCATCCTAAGATGCCCAAATCATCTACAAGTGGAGGATCTTCCACGTCCTCCACCACAGTCTTGTATTGTCAAGATTTCCAACGGCAACAGTGTTCTTCTAATTACATCACATTATCGCTACCTTCGCGGCGAGAGAAAGTGGCTGCGGCATATTTACTCCGACTGCTGGGTGCAATCAAGAAAACAAGAGCACCATCACGCTGGCACGTCCGAATGTACCTTTGCCTCTGCAAGTTCGGAGACAAAAAACTAACTACCTCGAACACCTTCATCCACCATGCTGAGTCAGAGGAAGTTGAACATGACATTTTATGTCATGTAATAGTCCTGTCGCAGTCGCAGTTGCAGTCCTGTCCTATAACTGTGAGGCAGCATTTCCCAAAAATTTTTTCACATTTAATAACTACTTTTAGATGACCCCTATAACAGTGAGGCAACATTTATCAAATACAACTGAATCAAATATATCAGAAAACAATGGTAGTCTTTACACTAGAGCCTAAATAAGCTAAGAAATATTTCAAGACAAGTAAATTTTAATTCCTTCAAGTAAAATAAAGCTCTACACACAACCGATTCTTTTCTACTTCAGGTTGACTTAAGGCCATTTTCCCATGCAACATAATTAAGATTGACATGTTTCACCTCTCTCAAAGCTCACGAAACTGCAAGTCAGCTAAGTCAGTCATAAGGATGGTTTTGAGGTCGCTTGAAACCTTCTTGAACCGTTTCAACTTTCCGACTTGTTGAAATTAATCTCGTCTGTACATCTTGTATATTTATGTCATTAGAATGATATAGTTTGAATTCGTGAATGTAATTAATCTCTATAATTTCGTAATTATTGTACATCTTTATGTCATTAGAATAAGATTGTATAATGTAATAGACACGTCTCCACACTACCTGCCTCGATTAGCTCTGCTATTTTGCAGGTAGTCTGTATTGTAATTTATTTATTGTGAATGTAAACAAATAAAGCTTCTTCTTAGTGTACTTTAATGACATGAAAAGTAACTTACTTGAGATTTTGCTTAGGCCTTCACACAAGAATTTTTGGGTAAGTAAAACTTAGCAGCTCCTAAGTCTTACTTAACAGCCTAGTGTAAAGACAACCATTGAATGGATGCCGTTTCGGTTGACAGTGCGAAAAAAAATCCACAGCTCATTCCAAAAACCTCTACTAGTTCGACCAAAGCCCTGGAAAGATGGGAGGACAAACATGTCCGCTTACTTATTGCAAGCTACATGAAGTTCAAAGACGAATTTGGGAAGTCACACATTACCCAACAATCAATTTGGTCGGACTTTCTTCGCACCGTTCTCCACTATTTGAACACTTGGAACAGGCTACCATTTTAACAAAGAGGATGGATACACAAGGCAATTATCTACAGGGTTTGTACCCTTTTTCAGAAACAATTTTGCAGGACTTTTCCAGGCTTCAGATTGATCTTTCCAGGACTCCAAAATTCACCTTAACCCTTTCACTCACAGAAGTGACAAATAATTTATTTCTACTTGCAATTTCAACACATTATCAAACATACCAATAAGAACAATAGAAAATATATAAAATATCAAGTACTTTGATTGAACACTTAATTCTCAGAAGTAACAGAAATCGGTGGCTGATAATAAGTAGAATTAATGTTCACATCTTGGGATTGAAAGGGTTAATTATTTTTCACCTGTTGGAGCTTTCCATCCAACTGCTCTTCAATGTCTTTCAAGGCTGCCCTTTTTTCCTTGGTAGATCTTCGCAAACTGTTTGATTTGGCAACCCAAGTAAGGTTTCTTGAATCTTCAGCCCTATCAGAAAATTTTTAAACTGCGGTTTCTTCTTCTTAAGCACATCAATCTAATCCATTGTCGCCTTTCTATTAAGCATTTTTTCCTGGGCACTTTAACTCTCTTCTGCTCTTCTAGGAAAGATACTTCTGTAGCACGACAGCAAATGACATAAGAAGTTGCTTTGATATTTGTGCATTGGCAAGGCCTCCAACTGATTCAATATGATCGTGAATAATCCTCTGTGCAATGAACGATCTTTCTGACAGGCTCTCAACTACACTTCTTTGTTTACAAAAAAGCCTCGTTCAACTGTGGCTTGACCATGAGAAATTAGCAGCAGTAATTCAACCACTCTCCACACTTTGACCAGTTGCTTATCACCAGCAATGTGTTCATACAATAGTGTCAACTCTTGAAGAGGGTTCACTGGGGTCAAAATCTTCAAAGTCAGGATTACCTGCACATTCATCCAGAAACTGTCCAAACTGATTTATCACCTCATCACACTCATCATCCTTCAATCTGTGGGCTTCCACAAGAATTTCCAGAACTCTTTTCATTTTGTTAACACATCGTTCTTTCTCTGATGCCATTAGCCTTGGATCCAGACAAAACATATTTCTTACCAGCCGATAATTTATTGGTGTTTTGTCAAGCAGTTTAGAAGCTGTTTTAGCAAGAAAACCTTTACATTCCATTCT